TAGTAATTGTAGTGAATAATTAGTTACAAATTATTCTAGCAGTAATCTTTTGAGACCAAATGAATAATTATTTATAAATGATAACTAATAATGTATAAAAGTATTTTTTAGACTAAATTATCGGTTTAATTTTCGAAAAAAAAGAGAATTCTTAATTGAGTTTCCAAAATAACAACGTTAAGATTACTTAATCTTTTTTTACTAAATGTGAATATTGACTTGATTTTGTCCTAAGTAATTTTGATGAATTGGTTTTATGGTTAAAAAAGTACATTTTATTTTTTGAATTAGAATTTTAGAGTTAGTATTTATGAAAATTTATTAATTTTTTCTAAATATATCTTATATTATAAAATTATGAATATGTCTTTTTGAAGTTTTCTCGAAACTTGTTGATATAACAATCACATATGTTTTTGTATTTTAGTTTTTGTATCAAACAAACGTTGGAATATATTTTCCAGCAGCTTTTTCATATAATTACCAAACGACGTGAAAATATGTTTCGGAAAACAATTTTCTAAAAAATAGCTTACTCAGGAAAATTTGTTTTCCTCCAAACAAACACAACCTAAGATGACTTTCACCGCTTTAAAAAATATATATTTATTTGTCTAGGAGGGATCTACTTTATATGTGTGGCAAACTCAATTTTTAGCCATTGATTTCTTTAATATCTTTATATCTAACCGTTGTAATTAAAGCAATATATATATATATATATATATATATTGCCATTTGTAAAAAAAATAAAAATTAAAGCAACATAGTTAATAATGTATTTGTAAAAAAAGAAAGAAAGAGGAGAACGGTATGAAAATTGAGTAGAAATATATATATAAGTTCTAAATGTCAATATTCCCTTCTTCTTTTTTTCTTTTAATGGATTTCAAATAATACCAAATAAATTAATAGTCTATTATTTCACTTGAAATATAATTTTCTTATTGTTACAAATATTAGCTCATTAATTTTACAATTATGTTGTTGTTAGTTTAGTAAATACATTAGAATAATGCACACGTATTAAGTGGCAAATGCTAGTTATTAAATAAAATGGTAGCACGTCACGTATATTAGTCAATTAGCAATAGTTAGTTTGTTAGTTTAGCTTGTAATTCATAAATAACTGGAGGATTTACAAGAACATATATGCCTTTTATAATTAATTCTTCTATTGAATACAATAAACATATATTTTCTCTTCCTAATTCTTTCTTTTTCTTCTCTTCCCTAAATTCTAGGGTTTTTGTTAAGGAATTCGTTGTTGGACCTTAATAATTGATAGCAGAGCCTAATTATTATGAATAATTCATCACTAAATCATGGTTGATAATCACAAAATGAAAGGATTAAAAGAAAATAATAGAAGGCAAGAGGAGTAGATCCAAAGGCTTCGCTAGGAAATTCAAGATAAGGTGGAAGCATTAAAGAAGTAAATGCAAGATTAAGTGCAACAAACATATCTTCATTTTAAAGCTTCAATGGAGACAATAAAGTCAAACTTAGTGGTGAAAGACATAATGTAAACAAACTAATATAGTCAATGTAACATAGTGAATCAATTCTTTCATCGAAATTCATAAAGTCCGGTTACAATGCTTTTATGGATATGATAGATTTACAAATGTTTGACGGTGAAGAAGATGAATTAGATGAGAAAAGTGAAGTGGGGTTTATGAAGAAGGAAGGGGAAAAAGAGGTGGAAGATGGAATGAAGGATAATGGTTGTGATATGAAAGAGCATGGAGGTCTTGTAAATAAGAGGTCGAGGAGAATTGGTAAAAAGTTGAACTATATATGTTGAGATTGATGTTACAATGGAAGAGGTAGTGCTTTAGGAGAAATATAGGAAGATTAGGAAGAAGAACTAGGTATTAGCGAGTGAAAAGAAGAATAAAGTCTTTAAGAGTGATGGATTGAAAAGTAAGAAAAATAATCAAGGCAGATTTATTTATAACAAGTGGGGTCCATGGACCCCACTTTGTCAATGAAAAATAAAAAATACCATGTAGTATTCAAATAAAAAAACCCACCTATTAATCCATTTACTACTTAGTCCATTACCCAAAAACAATACATAGTAACCTATTATCCAAAAAAAAAAACCCATTATTTAGCTTAAGCCCATTACCCATAAAAATACCCATCATTTAGCCCATTAATTAAACCACTACAACACTTATTTTCTATTCCCTTTTGCTCTTAAAAGCTTTTAACGACTCCTAAACCCCATCACCCCTCTACGTTTAAGTTCTTTTCTCAACAATTTAACTTCTCATTTTCTCAATAATTCAACTTCTCATGTTCTCTCTTAGTTGGCCAATTCTCCAACATTCTTTCATCTTCCTCAACCCTATTCCATCTCATTTACCAAATCAAAAGGTAAAAAAAAAAAAACATCGGTATTAAGTTGATGTGGATTTCATAACCTAGGTTTGTTTTCAATACTTCCTCTTTTTTTTTTGTTTTCTTAGTTAAATTCAATTATGTATTTGAGATTCTTGATTGAAATAGATAATTTTATTTATTTATGAATAATTATTATGATTTAATTCTTGTTATTGTAGATTATTGAATTATTTAGGGTTTAAGAATTAAGAATTATATTTCTCTTTATTAATAATACCAAATGATCCAAACCTATAATCCCTATTTAATATTTAAGTATTCTAGTAAATCTAGTTGATTTAATCTTTCCTTTATGACATCCATGTATCAAATTAGATGTAAAAAAGTAAAAGAAATTCAATAAATTAATGACCCTTTGTTCATATTATTTTAAAAATTCTAATTTTTTATTATCTCTTTCTTTTTTGTTAGTGAGTTATGTTGAGGTATCTTAAAAAACAAGCAATGCTCGTAGCCAAAGAATAGCGAACAATAGTTGATTTAAATTCTCTACCAGTTGATCTTGGAGAACGACCAAGAATTGAAAGTTACCATCCTAATGATTGAGATGAAGTTAGAAAAGCATACCTTTAAAAAGGCCTTTGTCAACCTCATTCTCATGATTTTCAACCAAGAGATATTGGAGGTAGATTACGTCGATTTAATCCTCCTTGGTTTGTCTGTATAAATATTGGTTGGAATATAGTAAAAAAGAGGAAACGACATTTTACTTATGTTGTTATTTGTTTAAACCTAAAATTAAAAACCAAGGTGGTGCTGATTCTTTTTTGAGTGAAGGGTTTAAGGCTTAAAACAAAAAATTATGATCTGGATGTTCATGATGTTGGACGTGCACATAGTATGGTGGTCCAAAAATGTCAAGATTTGATGAAACAATCTCAATCTATCCATTCTACTTTTAATAGGCAAATAAACTTGCTACCCATGATCAAGACCGAGAATAAAACTCGATTAAATGCAATTCGTTAATTATGTAAGATTCTTTTTTAGACAAGGATTGCCTTTTCGTGGCCATGATGAATGTGAAGGTTCAAGTAATAGAGGAAATTTTCTTGAACTTCTATACTTTTATGCCCAACATAATGAAAAAGTGGGTAGTGTTATATTCCATAATGCTCCTAGAAATCAACGAGATGATTACTCCTTCAATCCAAAAAGACATTGTGTATGCTCTTACAAAAGAAACTACCAAGGCAATAATTGAAGACCTCGGGGATGATTTTTTTAGGATTTTAGTTGATGAATGTCGTGATGTATCATGTAAAAAGCAAATGGCCTTGGTTTTGCGATATGTGGATAGAAGTTGATGAATATGATTGGAACTTCTTATAAATGTCAAGACAAGCTTAGAGAGAAAATGCAAAAAATATAGTTGAAGCATTACTTAATGAAAAGCTTCCAAGTGGTCGAGGATTGAATCAAGAAATGGGCATTAAAAGAGTTGGTGATACTCGTTGGGGATCTCATTATGGATCACTTTTGAATGTGATGACTATGTTCGATTAAATTATTGAAGTGCTTGAAGACATTGAAAGTGATGGCATATGTCAAGATCAAATAGCATAAGCACGTCGTCTTTCGATTTGTTGGAGTCATTTGATTTTATCTTTTGTATTAATTTGATGGTGACTATTTTAGGTATTACAAATAAGTTAAATTTAGCATTGCAAAAAAAGGATCAAGACATTATGAATGCTATCTCATTTGTTAAAGTTGCCAAGTAAAGATTGCAATAAATAAGAGATGATGGATGGAAAGATCTTTTCAATGATGTTTCTTCCTTTTGCAACAAGCAAGGTATTCAAATTCCAAAGATAGAATATCCATATGCTTGAAGAAAGCATTGCAAGGCTTCGCGAGTCAACAATTTACACTATTATCAAGTTGATTTATTCTATTCCGTAATAGATATGCAACTTCGGGAGCTTAATAGTCGTTTTAATGAAGTGAACACCAAATTACTTCTTTGTGTTGATTGCTTAAGCCCAGCTAATTGTTTTAGTGCATTATATAAAGAAAAGTTGTTGAAGATGGTCGAGTTTTATCCATGTGAGTTTTATGCTTCGTTGAGCTTCTAGCACTCAAAAATCAACTTGGGAACTATTTAGTGGACGTGATTGGAGATGAAAGGTTTGCTAATTTATAAAGGATAAGGGATCTTTCTAGGAAAATGGTAGAGAAAAAAATAATATTTATCCATTAGTGTATTTACTTTCGAAGTTGGCATTGATTCTACCTGTAGTAACGGCAACTATAAAGCGAGCATTTTTCGTAATGAAATTGATCAAAAGTGATTTACAGAATAAAGTGAGTGACCAATGGTTAAATGATTGTTTAGTAACATATATCAAAAAATATGTATCCGATAATGTTAGTAATGATACTATTATGTGTTATTTTCAAGATATGAAAACTCGTCAAAGACAATTGTAATAGTATTATATTGAAAAAGCTATATCCGATAATATTAGTAATCATATATTTATGTGTTATTTTCAAGATATGAAAGCTCATCAATAACCATCGTAATATACTATGTGGAACCCTCTTTGAGAAGTTTCTAGATCCGCACATCGAAAATAATCAAAATGGTGATGTCGAGAAACTTATCGAAAGAAAGAAAGTTTGAGGATAATGAAGTTCAAAGGGACATAAAACTTGTCCTATACGAGATTATGAATAAGGATGGAAAGCCTTATATTCGGGTGAAGATTAAGGATGGAGAGATTAAGGTTCTCTCCTGAAGAGATCGATCTTATGATTTTGATCGAGATGAAGGAACCGATTGAGGCATTCCTTGGAAAAAAAAATCAAAGATGATGTTGTCACCGTTCTTGCATATTTCAATGATCGATAACTAAAAGCAAACCACCAAATATGCTAATGTCATTGCTTGAACTCAATATGGCTAGGATTATTAATGAGCCAATTGTTGCTACTATTACCTATGGTTTGAACAAAAAGGATGGTGAAAAGAACATTCTTCTATTGATCTTGGTGGTAGTATATTTGATGTTAGTATCTTGACTATTGATAATGGTGTCTTTGAGGTTCTTTCAACTAATGGTGACACACACTTGGGAGGTGAAGATTTTAACCAAATGATTATGAGTACTTCATTATGTTGATCAAGAAAAAGCATGATAAGGATGCCCGCAAGTTCAACGGGGCTCTTGGCAAGATCAAGAGAGAATGTGAGCATGCCAAGAGAGCTCTCGTAGCTCGACATTAGGCCCATGTGGAGATTGAATCACTTTATGATGCCATGGATTTCTTTAAACCACTTACTAGAGCTTGTTTCAAATAATTGAACAATTATTTGTTTAGAAGACAATAGGAGTTGTAAAGAAGACTATGGAAGATGCTTGGTTTGGAGAAGAATCAAATTGACGAGATTGTTCTTGTTGGTGCAAGTACCAAAATTCCAAAGGTTTAACGACTCCTTAAGAATTACTTTGATGGAAAGAAGCCTATCAAGAGTGTGAACCTTGTGTAACAAATATATGTTCCCACTTTTTTATTAAAAATATACATGTAAATTGCAACATATATATACACACTTACTTACGAGTGACTTGGAATTTTAGCTAAAGTAAACTATTAAACTTGTTACGTTATAATAGGTGTTTGAGAGGTTAAAAATACTGAAGGATACGGATGAGTTGAGATAGGATAAGTTTGGAAACATTTATCCTTATCACCCGCGTAGGGTTATCCGGGATGCATAATTTGGTCCTTAATTTGGAAAACTTAAGTTTGGACGGTAACTTGGTGAGGATGTCCGTAATCCGATCATCGGTGGAAATATAGCTAACCTTTAACCGGCCTTGTCGGACCTTGTTTCGATAAAATGAAAATAAATTTCAAGATGTTTCGATCTTGAGTGAAATATAGGCATAGTTATCATATAAGTTACTTGGAATATTATCACACTTGATCACTAGGGATGCTGAAATTGGGATGCCAATTTTGGTCAATAGGGATTGGAACCGAGCAATTTCGAGCACAAGAGGAGGCTAAGGCTTTGTATTTAAACTCGTGGTAGATCGAGTAACCGTTTGTTATTTTTTGAACCATCGGGAAATGATGTTTTTTACCAAGGTAGATAGCATAGCTAGAGGTACTTTTTTTGTCATCCACATCTTCACCCCAATCGGAGGTTGTATAGGTCGTGAGAGAGGATATGTCAATTGTTGAATATGAAGGTTATGAGACTTCGTAGTTTGAAGGCATTGTAGAATTCTTTTGATCTGCGGATCAATGTTAATTGATCAAGCAATGCATGTATTGTGCAACCTTGTTAACGGAATAGGCTAAATCGAGCTGGGTAATCCCTAAGTATTGCGGTCTACCAATAATGTTATGGTAGAGAAAAGGATAAAAGAATCTTGATCCAATCGTGGCTTGCAGCCTTCACACTAGGACATGCTTAGAGTGCTTAGCCCTTTGGCACTATACATTTTTCCTTTTCTAAGAGTCGAGTTACATAACGATGTTGATTGAGAAAAATGCTAGAGTTGCTTCAATGTACCTCAATACCTAAAAAATAATATAGAGCTCTAAGGTGTTTGATTACAAAACTAGATTTGAGCTCCTGTATGGTTGAGAGAATTAAGGATGGGTTGTTGCTAATGACAATCAAGTCATCTACATAGATGAGGTAAAAAATAGCATCGGCCCCGAGTGTTTGTAATACAATGAGACATCTATCTTAGAACCCCGAAAACCAATGGAGCACAATTTGTCGGTTAAGCATCGAAACCATTGTTGTGGTGCCCGTTTTAATCCATATAAGGATTTTTTAAGTTTACGGATATGTGTGGGTATGGTGGAGTCAACAAATCTTGGGATTGGACCATGTATACTCGTTTCTTTAATTGGATCGTGAAGGAAGGCATTGGAGATATCTAGTTGGTCTATCTTCCAATTAAGAGAGACGATTATGGATAAAATTAACTCGACTATGGAGGGCTTGATGATCGGGCTATATGTCTCGAGTGTAGTCCAACCCGGGACGTTGATGAAATCCTTTTGCAATGAGTCTTGTTTTGTAGTGATCAATGGAGCCATCGGGTTTGGTTTTGATACAATAAACCTATTTGTTCCCTATGACATTGTAATGTGATAGTTATAGGACAAGCTCTCAAGTGCCATTGTTTAGCAAGGCTTGAAACTCCATATCTATGGCAAGTACATCATTCTAATTGCCGATAGGCTTGGGTGAAGCGAGTGGGTTCTATAGGGTGTGTGAAAGTAGAGAAATTTTGAGGTTTCAAGGAACCTGTCTTACTACAAGTGGACCATAGGATGAGATAAAATTGGTGTTTGAGAGATTTGTGTCTTGAGAGGAGGAATGTTGTGTAATATGAGATCATTGTGTAGTGGTGATGGGGAATCTTAGACAGGTAGAGAAGGGTAAAGTATGAATAAGGTTAAGTTATGAATGAGTTGGATATGAAATGATGGTGTCCGTGTTAGATAAGGGATTTATTATGGAAGGAGAAGAAGTATTGTCATGTGGTCGTAATGGATAAAGGGGAGTCATTAATGATAGGTTAGGGCATGAGGAGGCTGCAGACGGTATAGAGGTAGTGTGGAGAGGAGGGATTTATGAGGTCGATTAAAGTATGGTCGAGGGTGTGTGAGCGAATGGGTTTAGTGGCGACGGCTAGGTCGAGATGATTTGAGTATGGCCCAATGGAGTCCGTGGTATCCGTTGGGAATAAGCTGGAGTTTTGTTAGGAGAGCGAGGTCCGAATAGCGTGTGTGGCGCTTGGCTTAGGTATGTGGGAATAGGGTTGGCCGGTGTTTATGTAGGTTTGCATGGGTTGCGGGTTATGTTGGCTTAGGTTTGGTTTGGTGTCGTAGTCCTATGGTTCGTTAGTATGGTGTGGAGGTATAGGTTAAACTGGGTGCATCATGGCGAGAATTGTGATTTATTGATGAAGGTGTCGTAACGAGTGAGGACACCAAAACATCTTTATTTGATGACGTAAATGGAAATACCGCTCATAAAAAAAAACATGACGTGAGATAATTATTTTTTCGAGTAGAAGTATTATAACAAATATACCCTTTATGAATTTTAAAGTAACCAAGAAATACACAAGGAGAGGAATGAGGTGCTAATTTATGTTTGGAATATGGTCTTAACCATAGATAACAAAGGCATCCAAAAAATTTTGGGTGGAGTAGTATTAAAAAGGATGAAAAGGGGGATTTATTATTTAATCGAGGTGTGTGCGATCCGTTGATGATATATGTTACAATGTCAAAGGCATAGGTCTAAAATTTTAATGGGATCGATGAATGATGAAGAAGGGTTAGGCCGGTTTCAACAATGTCTTTGTGTTTTCGTTCGTCGCAACCATTCTCTTCTAGGATTTTTGGACAAGAATTTTGTTGAGAAATGCTATTTTCAATGAGGTATTTTGTGAAAGCTTTATACCGCACCCATTCAAACCGAAATATTTTAATAGGTGTGCCAAAAAAATTTTCAACAACATTTCAAAATTTAATAAAACAGTTAAGCACCTCGGGTTTGTAATGAACATAAAAAATCCACGAATATTTGCTACAATGATAAAAAAAAATAAGACATAATAAGAAAATCCATCAACAGAGGGGATATGGGATGGTCCCCATAAATCAAAAGCAAATTAGTTCCAAAGGACTAGATGCTTTAAATTCAGATACAAAAAAGATAATTTATGTATTTTACTGATAGAATAAGCATGACATAATGAAGATAATTTATTAGAGGCTATAACATATTTGGCATGCTTGAGAGCTTGATGAATTATTTGAGGAGCAGCATGGCCAAGACGTGCATGCCATGTTTGTACAGAGGACATATGAGCTTGAATGGAAAATGGATGTCTTAATATGCCATTCAAGGAGAGAGTGTAAAGGCCATTTTCAAGTAGTCCTTTATGAAGCATTTGTTGTGTATCCAAATGTTTAATAACAAAATGGTCGGGATAAAATTCAATAGATACAAAATTATTTTTGGTAAAAGTACTGATAGATAGAAGATTGTGAGAACTAGAAGGCATATGCAAAATATTATTTAGGCAGAAAGAATTATTATGTAGAAGAAAATAAGATGAGCCAATGTGAGAGATTGGAAAGGGATTACCATATGTCAAAGTAACTTTTACTGGACTAGAGTAGTCTTGATGTATGGCTAAGTTTTCTAGATTCGTCGTCAAATGGTATGTTGCACCAGTGTCCATAACCCATGGGGTGGAGGTAGAAGATTTGTGGGTTGAGGCTAGAATTACAGTTGGAGGAGTGGTGAGTTAAATAAGGGTTTCTGTTGAGGAGGAGGTCGTAATTTAGGAGATGGGCATTGATTAATTAAGTGTCCCATACCATGACAGTTGTAGAGAGTAAGATGAGTAGGCAAACCAAGAAGGTGAGTGGATGGCCGTGATCCAATAATGGATTGACGGCCACCACGACAACCTCGCCCTCGTGATCGAAAGGAAGGAGGGTTACGAGTGGCATAATATGCTGTCATTAGTGTATGATGGTGAATAGAAGTTTTACTGAGCTGAAGTTCTTCGCTCAAAGTAAGACCATAAAGAGTGGCATAAAAGATTTCTTCATTCCTGGATTCAACTGAACGAACAAAAGGTCTGTATTCATCATCAAAGCCACGTAAAATGGCTTAAACCAAATCATCTTCAGATACTACAAAACCAATAGAGCAAAGCATGTCATAAATGCCTTTTACATGCTCAAAATATTGTAAGACAGATTTTGAACTTCATCGTTCAAGACAATATAAGTTGTTTTTGAGGTTGTTAACTTGTGTTCGTGTTTCAAAGCCATATGCAGAGTGGATCTTAGTCCATGTTTCTTTGGCAATAGAAGCCTCAATTACTAGTTGGATGACTGGTTCAGTTAAAGAACTAATGAGCCAAGAAAAAACAAGCTGATCATTCTTATCTCAGGTAATGAAATCAAGATTTGGTTTATTATCTGCAGTGGTGGGAGATGGCTGTGGTTGGGTGCCATCAATGTGATGAAGCAACCCATGATAACGAAGGAGGGGAAAGAGTTGAGTTTTCCATAGAAGAAAGTTTATTGGCTTGAGTTCCTCTTGAGATTTGGAGGAGAAGGAGTGGGAAGAGTGGAGGAGGCATGTTCAGTAGCCATGAGAAAAGAGAGTGCGGAAGAATCAAGGAAAGGGGAAGGAAAAAAACAGATAGCAGAGGTTGTTAAGCCGTTTCAAGCTCTGATATCATATAACAAATATATGTTCTCACTTTTTTTATTGAAAATATACAAGTAAATTGCAGCATATACATACACACTGACTTACAGTAGCTTGAAAGTCTAGTTAAAGTAAACTACTGAACTTGTTACGTTACAATAGGTGTTTGAGAGGCTAAGGATGCGGAAGGATGCAGATGAGTGGAGATAGGATAGGTTTGGAACATTTATCCTTATCACCTTGATGAGACTGCTACTTTTGATGTTGGTGTTCAATGAGGTATCCTAAGTGGAAAGGGTGGCGATGAAACCAAAATATTCTTCTCTCGGATGTGGCTTTCCTCACCCTAGGTATTGAAACTATTATTGGATTGATGACTAAGTTGATTCTAAGGAACGCTGTTATCCCAACAAAGAAATCTCAAATTTTCACCACTTACCATGATCAGTAGACTACTGTCTCCATTTAGTTCTTTAAAGGCGAAATGAGTCTCATAAAGGATTGCAGGCTGTTTGGCACAAATGATGATATTGCCAATACTTGTCCAGTCTGTCTTACAGATTGTAACTATAAATCTTGTCTAGACAGTGGGTATGAGACTTATCTAATGGGAGGGCATGAATGTTGAGGATGCTACGAGGTCATTGAGCAATTGGAGCAACAATTCCAGATTTCACATTTAATCCTTAAGGACAAGGATTTTTCAAATGGAGGAATATTGTTACGAATATCAGTTCATTGATTTGATAATTCTGTTGTTATTAGTTTAGTAAATACATTAGGGCAATACATAGGTGTTAAGTGGCAAAGGTTAGTTGTTGAATAAAGTAATAGTTTTGATAATTGATTCTTCTATTGAAAAACAATAGATGTATATTCTCTGTCTCTAGTTATTTCCTTCTCTTCTCTTCCTCAAATTCTAGGATTCTTGTTAGGAAATCTATCGCCAGACCTTAATACTTATTTCTTGTGTGATTGGTTCATGTAATTGATGAACCACAAGGGATTACACGATGAATGGAAGGAGAACCCCATCTTCTTCCAATTCTATGAGCAGCATGGCAAACACAGCCTTAAATCGGCACAAAGACTCGTTTAAGAATGGGATCAAAACCTTGATTTTATCAAAATTTAAACAGCTGTAGTAAAATGGGCCGAAATCCGACATGAGAAAATGCCCATCTCCTAAATGCATGCTACTGATGCTGGCTTGCTTAGCTAGCCAAGCAAACTAACCGCCTGTTAACATTCACGAGTCACAAGCGAAAGATATTCATAGGAAGGGAGGGCCATCCCTTGTTATAATTCAAATCCCAAGTAACCCGAGAAAATTGTCATGCTGGCAACATTTTTATGCTAATCTTAAGAATTTGTCATTCCTATAGTATAACTGGCGACTAAAAGCAATTGGATCCAAGAGCCATCGCAAGCCGAGATATTGAAAAGCGATGCACCTTGCAGCAACGCAAGTTTAATACATGTTCCAGTTGAAATTGTTCAAACAGTTCGTGTTAAATTTAATCAAGAACTGATACTCTTTCTGAAGGGCAACAACATCACCTTCCACATTATTTTAGATTTTTAAATGTTTCAAAACCTATGAATACTAGCCATGGCAACCATCAATTTCCTTCCATGTTACGTAAACTGACAAATCCTTGAAATAAAACAATGCACCAAAATAACTAACATAAGCCACTACCTGGAGATCAGTTCCAACGAACGCAAAACTGAAACATGGAGTTATTATTGGCTGATACTGTTCGAATAGCATTTCAAATTGGAAAAATGGTAGGACTATCATTGCTGTTAGCCAAATGCTCAAAATAAGTTCCAACTGTTGCTACAAAAACTTTGCTCTAAGCCATGGACATTTTCGTCTTCCATCCAAGTAATTGCCAGCATCTGCAGTTTTAACCACAGAAATTAAGCTTCTTCATAACTTTGGCATAGGCTGCAGGGACAGTAGATGGTTGTCTAAGTCTACGTTTTGATTTCTTTGACTGCATCAAACATAAAATTTCTGTCAATCACAAGTGAAATCATATATTGCCACATTACACCCCTAATAAAAGAATCACAAACCGTGAGATAAGAAAAAGAGGATTTCAGCTGGTAACTACAGTTTTCAGAACTTGGGAGGAGAGGAGTGTGGGGTGGGGCACTTAAGAAATAAACAGTTCAAGTTGTGCTCATCTTATTTCTGATTGACTGAAATTTAACACAAAATGAACATTTATCAACACCACTTCTCCATTCAGAAAAGAATCTTCAAAATGCCACTTTCATCAGGCAATGCATCTTCCACTATCATTCCTCAGATTGCGTGACAGGGAGTATTAGGCAAAATATGATTTCTTTAAAATGTGCTAGGGGATGCAATTGTACAGTAAACAGAAGCTAATAAGACAATTTTGTCTGCCATCGATAAAACTCTTCAACACCAAATGCAAACGAAAAGGAATTGAGTTGAGCACATCAGGACCGAAAAACGTAGGATTTTCAACTGAGTCTGCAAAATCAGCAGCAAACGAGCCAAAAATTGGAAAACATCCTCGCAAGTACAAAAAGACATACCTTCAAGTGTGCATTATGATTCTTGCCCTCCCTCCAGCGACGAATTGTCCCATCATTCATTGTCCTGAATCTGTCCTTATAAGACCTGATCAATACGAACTAAAACCAGTGATTCACAAAATTTAAAAAAGTACCTTTGGAAAGAAAAGAAACTGAGTAAAACAGCTTAAACTCACGAGTAAGCCTTCATTTTAATCTTTTTGACTTTGGAGGTGCGTGGAGTCATTGGTTTCCTCCTCTTTTCCGCTCCCTTGATGAAACATGACGCACTTGCACCAACTGAAGGCACAACAGAAAATCCTCTTAAAGGAAAAAAAAAATCAACAATTGCATACTGAAATAACATCAACGTGATTCAGATTTAACATCAACTGGAAAATTCCAGGACTCGTGTTGATTGTTAGCAGGGAAAAAGAAAGTAAATGGACATCTACATATTCTCTCATAGAAAATAGAAAGCTGAACTCAAGTCAGTAGAATTATGCTAACATATCAAAGTTTCAACTTCTCTATCCTATTTTAAAAGTGGTTGCTGAGAAGGTACACGAAAATCTAGCATTTCTAATGTATTATATATATGGCTAAGATGCACCGCATCCCTAGTCAAGTGTTAGAACAAATTCGACCTGGGTTCTTCAAGTTCTTCTTTAGAATTCAACTCCTCGACAATAATGACTATATCCATTTGAACAATAATTCTACGCTTTGGGTCAATTAGTTTGCAAGATTAAAATATTAAAATGCGGTACACATTGTAAGACCTGAAGATGACACATACTGTAAAGATTGACCTACAAATAACTAAATCTGAAAAAAAAAATCACATTTCTTTGCGGCATACCCTCAGTAACCATGCATACAATAAACAATCAACAAGAGAATAATCATAACAAAACCAAAGAAACCCATAAACCTTACAGAGTGGGAGAGTGGAGACAGACGCAATGAGGGAAGAGCTGCTAGCGAAGGAAGTTTAATTGGTAACGAAGAAGATGTTTTCAAAAGGGACCCATTAAAACTCCATGTACTAGAAGCAGCAGCAAAATGGAGATGTCGGTGATAAAATTGTGGAGAAGAGTGGAGGCGGCGATGCGAGGAGGAAACAGAGGCTAAAGATCGAAGCTTGGTGCATAATCTCTGCATTTCGAGAATTGAAATTGCGGGTTTTGATTTTATTAGAAGGTGAAACTGTCAGAGGTTTTAATCGGTGCTTTGACGGAGTTTTTGGTTTGGGGATTCGGGTTAGAGACTGGGTGTTTGGTGGATGGGTTGATTAGAAGCCTCCTTGGTGGAGACTCGTTTGCCTGTATCGAGTTCGGATCGTCCTTGTCTTGGACTGTGAAGTGGGGTGACTTCATCAATCCTATAATGGGTTAATTAGGCCTTCAGTCCCTCTGTTATAAGATTTTGATCTATTAGGTCCCTGTAGTACTATTGTGAGTGATAATAAACCTCTATAATCCATTCCCTTTACAATCATGATCTTAAATCTATAATGGAGTTAACAATAATTAACACAATATTTTAAAATTAAAAAAATATAAAATCCTTATATTAACTCTCTCGTTAGAGTTTACAAAACTAATTAAGGCAAAATAACTTTAAAGATTCACGATAAAACAATAAAAATTGATATCCCAATTTATTTAAAATGAAAACATGAAAATTGTGAAATTAATAAAATTGAAACCGATTAATTTCTTTTCTAATTTATTTTATTTTTAATTGCTTTTCTGTTTTTTTTTTAATAAAGTTTTTGCCATTTTGAATGAATACATATGACAACAAACCATGCATGCACTGTTAACGACATCACAGATTGAAAAATCTGATTGCAAATAAAATGTGTTGTAAAAGAATTTCATTAATTAAAATGATATTTAGAAGACCCAATTAATCAAACTCTTATGGTAAAGGACCGTGGGTTTAAATAACCCATCTTCTAATAAACAACAAAAACGCTTATAATATGGTTGATAATAGAAATTGAATTTTAATTTTAGATTTTTTTTTATCAAACTAAAACAATTTTTTTATCGATAAATTACATACCTTAATGATAAAAATCCACTAACTATAAATGATCAAAAGAATCTTTATCAAATACACAGAGCACATACAGCTTGTCTAATAACGTTATAAATAAAAAATTGATATAAGCAACAAGCCAACAACACGACCGTCTCAAACAGTCGAGGATGGAGTGTATGTTGCCACTTCCACAATTATTTGGACGAAAGAAGAAAGAAAAAGAAAAAGAAACATTAATATTGAACGGCCGTGTTCGAGAAAATCTTCATTTTCTTAAGTTTCCCTCTAAGGCGTACCTCCCTCCTCTACATCCTTTGTTACAACATTGCCTGCAGTATCAAAGCCAGCAACAGGTGAACCCTCTTCACCATGTTCCTCACCCATATGCCCAGCAGCCTTGGCTCCTCCAAAATCACTAATGTTTCCATAAATCAATAGAAGAAATCCAGAGATAGCAGTATAAAATGCCACTCCAAAAGAAGTTCTAATATTTCCAGGGATTGTTGATGCAACTGCAAAGCCTATACAAGAGCCAAGAGCTCTCCCCCAACAAAACCATGAAGAGAATGCACCTTCTTTCCCATGTGGAGAGCTATCAATTATCAAAACCCTTCCAAAAGCATACAAAAGCCCAGCTGATGTGCTTTGCAACGCAGCAAGACCCAGTACATGCTCTCTTTGCCAAGTGCTCTTCTTATGGCGGAACCCCATTATCCCTGATGTGAGTAAAGACAGGATAAAACCAAGCAAATGCATTTTCATTGCATTGACCTTCGTAACATGCTGTATTGGTTGCATCAGTGGCAGAGAAATCAATGGAAAAATGAAGTAAAGTAACCAAAAGTATAGTATGAAAACAGGCTTAAGACATAAATCTCCTAATAGATAGAGCACTGTGCTTGTGAAGATGCACATTGTTGTAAAGGAGGAAAGGAAGGCCACAAGTACGGTTCCAAGGGCATGGGGAAACTTGAAAATAGAGAACAAATGGGCTACTGATGATATAGAAGAGGTTGGAGTAGTTGAACCAGTTGGTTTAATGGTAATGATGTGTGACATGCCAACAAGCCATATAAGGCCACTAAAAATTGAAACAACCCAAAGAGCAACAAATCTCCTTTCTTCGCGTTTAAGCATCTGGTAAGTGAAGGCTGACATAAGGGCAGCCCCTAAGCAACCAGCAGCTGTGGAATAAAGGGACAGCCAGCTGGAAACCCCTCTCCGCAATTGAAATTGCTTGCTTTGAATGGTTGGTCCGGTGAAGCCTCTAACCATGTGACCAAGTTGGCGAGTGTGGGAGGCCATAGCAACAGTGCTACCTGCTATAATGATTGCAATATATGGAGGCAAAATCCAATAGACATTGAAGAATCCTGTAGGTAGACAAAAGAAAGCTCCAACTGCTATTGCTGCCGCGGCTATTCTTTGTGGTGTCTGGCCATAGTCGAGGTGCTTGCAAATGGAGCCAAGTACTGGAGCAGCCAAAATCAAGCCCATACCCCAGGAGAGGGAAGTCCACTCTAATGGAGAGAATTTAGAGTTGCTGATGTTAATGGATTTATTCGTTACAGCGTCGTACCTGCAATTTAAGGACTAGTTTAATCACCTCAAAAAACACATAATCATAATCTTTTATGAGCCATTCATTTGTTAATTTTCTTGGCTGTATAATATAATATAGCAGGTAATAGCCAGCTTACAGTTTCATTTGGTTTGCCCCACATAACAAGCCCTTCTTGTTCATGATCAAGTCTCCAGCAGGTTCTGGTGGTGAATGGAAGATTTGGCTTATGATGAGTGGGAAAAGGATTGGAACAAGAGTAGTGTGAATGAAATAGGAGCACAGTTCGTATAAATACCAAAGCCAGGTTTCCCCTTTAGTAGGCTTCCCTACAGTCCCTGTATAAGCCCCGTATACCTCTCTTGCCCTCTCAATTTTCATAGCTGTGTTGTGCACATCAGGTGTAGCCGTATCTTTTACATCTTCACTACCACTAGCCGTTGAGAATTCCTCGATTTTCGTTGGCGAATCGCGCGCATAAGGTGTGGCCATATTTTGGTTACTGTCAAAAATCTCAACGCTATTGCTTTCTGCCATGATGCTTTTTTAAGCCAAGAGTGATGGAAACAATATGGAGAAGATCAGGGAGTGACAAGCTAGCGTCAGGGTCAAGCGTGTTATAATTAGAATGTAGTACGTGTTTGTGTTTGGACATTCATTCATAGGCAAATAGCCGGCACGAAATTCTCGAGATTCTACAAGCCTTGTTTTGTTCATTTATATATACATAAACATAGGAAGATTATTGGGATAATTCTTGGCTTCTTGTTGCATCTTTTGGTTTTTGTATCAGAAAAACCAATGATTTTTTTTCAGATGTATGCTCCTGTATATTAACATTGCACTATACAACCGATGCCGTAGTGATGGTGACATTGCATTGCTACAGTTTGAAGCCTCTTTGACAGAAAAAAGTCAAACTTAACAAGAACAGTGGTGGTTGAAGATTTAAACTTCTTCAATCCTCAAAATATCTAACATAAATAATTTTAACATAATTAACTGCTGTAACTACTGAGTTGCCCCAATATTCTTCAACACAAGTTTTCATTCGTCTCTCCATCCCATTGTGAGAATTCTCTATGTCTACAGTTTACCTCACCAATGAGATCCATAACTTTGCAAATTGGACTTCTGATCTGTGACTCCATAACATGCTTGATCATGCTATGCTGGATTGGAAAGAGAAAATCATGAGTTTTTATAATCAAATCACTGACTAGTGAGTTTAAAACAACCAATTTAAGTGGTTCTTTTTTTTTTTTTTGTGGTCAATTTTTATATACAGGACCACTACGATGTAAACATGGTTCTGAAGCTAATCCATAGAGTTGAAATTCACCTTAAACCATCAAAAGCTTGAAAAGGAGGTCTCTTCCACGAATGTACCTAATTCACTGTAAATACAATTTTAGTTTATTTATTAAACATTAGAACGCAATAACAAGGTGGGCATTTGGTCTAGTGGTATGATTCTCGCTTTGGGTGCAAGAGGTCCCGAGTTCGATTCTCGGAATGCCCCTCAAAAGTAACCTTTTTATATTTTTTTCTCCATATATCACACTTCTTTCAGTTTTGCATAAATTTAACTCGTGAAACTATCTTTAAACACCATCATCATTAAGAAACTCACTTAACATTAAGACAAAACAATCAAGTAGAACACAATCTTATTCGAACAACAATGCATATACTCCTATCTCTAATTTCAAATTGTTGAAATCTTCTTTGCATCCAGAGAAGTGGACCCATGTTTCAGGTTGTTTTTTTTTCCTTAAAAAAAAAAAAAAAAACTGAAATGATTTGTTTTGCCTATTTTTTCCACAACCTTGTGCTAATAATTGATAATTGTATTAAACTAAGTTGAGAGGTTTATTTTTCATAATTTTGTTGTACTACGGTTAATGATATTTTCCCAATTTTTTTTAAAACTTCGAGCTAAGGTGAACAGTGATGAACTATAGCATATAGGGGCTAACATTACCTTTTAAAAGACTATAAAATAAAATTACCATTCATCAAAAAACAAATAATTACTAAATTCGAAAAAAATGGTTCATTGCATAGGCCCGTTATTGCACTGTCTAATTTGCTGTTGGGCTTCCGTCTGCATGCTATCAAGAGACGAATTATCATAAGTGACGAAGCCATGACCGACAAAATTGCCTCTTACAGAAGCTTGTACTAAGTTGTGTGGTGAGAATTTTGGGCTTCGTCTTGTGCAATACCAGGAGATTTGAAGTGATAAAGCCTTAACCAAACATGCTGAGAGCCCATCCAAGCCCACAGTGTATAAACCGCCGATGTTTATATGATTCCTGAGAGACAAGAACATGAAATCAGAAAACAAAATGAAAAGGACATAAATTAGATTAAAACATATAATATTATTGAGTTCTTTATTAAGGTTTGTGTTGATGAAGATGGTCTTAGTCTATGACACGACACCCAAAGCCAACCAACTTTTGTAACAGAAAAGGAAAAAGGCGAGCATGTTCATAAACCAAACATGCGTGATTGCGGAGGATTGGTTACTTCTGTCTCTAAAACTTGCACATCACCCATCAAATATAAAACAAAAATAAGATAGAAACAAAAATGAAACTGTAAAGGTGTCACGGATGGAAGAATCTCTGTGTCACGAGATATGCTTGCACTACGAAACATTTGAGTGTCCTAAGCTGGGATCAAAGAATGTCCACTTCTATCCATTTTCTATCCACCCAACTTCACAGAACTTTATTTTTCAACGAGTGATTGATTTGTCAATATGGTTGATCTCAACTTTCTAACTAACCGAAGACAAATACTTCATTAAAAAACGTAAAAGAAATAAGAGAAACTAATTATGGTAGCAATTATTATTATTCAAAGAAAGAGAGATTTAGTGCTAAAACTTGGAATCTTATATATAAATAAGCTCTTAAAAATTCCCAACGTCCTTTTTAGTCTCAACAAGATTGAAAGCCTATTCGTGCGGGCACCCACACATGCACTCACGGTTTATGATATTATTAATGAAATTCTACCTGCAGCGATAACATTATTAATTTAAGTGGGAGGTCAGGAATAAAACATTCTAAGTGGGAAAAAAAGAAAAACAACAATAAACATGGAACTGACAAAGAAATACTCAAATTTAAATGCCATTCATAATTCTAAAAAATCATGCATTAACAATTCAAGTTGGAGGAACTATGATAGTATTAATTGTTGAGATCCTTACTATAATAATGATTATTCATAATGAATGTGTCACCGAGGTATCCCACGAAAAAATATATATATATATAGTAGTATAGCAATGTTATAAAATAAATAGAAATAATAGGAGAATTGAAGAAAAGGATGACAAGAAAATAAAATCACTATAATGTGAATATAAGTGATAAGAACTTCAAAATTTCTCTTATTTTCTCTAAGAAACTTGTACACCAACTAATGAATAATCAAGTCTATTTATAGGCTTCAAAATTGAGGAGAGAATTAAAATGGACTATGAATAATCAATTGCATCACCATTTCAATTTCTCATATTGAATGATGAATTGAATCATATTAAGAATCATGAGTAGTGGGGTTATGAAAAGTGGATGAACATGATGATGAACATTCATTATTTCATGACACTCCCCCTGAATGTCCATTGTACAAGGAACATACCTCGTTAAAACCTTAATAGGAAAAACCCGGTGGAAAAAAATTCTAGTGAAGGAAAAAAAGTACAATATTCTTTGCATATATTAATCCTCATTTTGGTCTCCCCTCGTTGAAGGCATTATTTAAGATCTTTAAGATGACGCATTCCAATCTTGTGAATCATCTTCTTAAAAGTTGTGATAGGTAATGTTTTAGCGAATAAATCTATCGGATTGTCACTTTAATATATTCTTCCTTCAATGGAATTATGCAAGCAACATTATCCTCATATGATATTGTTGAAACTTCTTTTGTTGATAGATAAATTACATCTCCCTCGGATATGATGGATCGTTGATCTTGGGCAAACACATTCTTAACTTACCTCGTGAATTGATATTTCGCATAATTTGAAGATGTGACAGCTATAGTTTGCTTTATAGAACACAAAGATGTAGCTAGATCTCCATATGTAAATATATAACCGATTGTGATCGAGCTTTGTGCGGATCGGATAAATAACTTGCATCCGCATAACCAATTAATCTTGTCTTTGATTTATTGAAGTAATATAAGCCCATATCAATTATTCCTCAAAGATAACATAGTATATATTTAACTTTATTTCAATGTCTCTATGTTAAAACAAAACTGTGACTTGCTAACAAATTTATAGAAAAGACTATATCGAGTCAAGTATTGTTAGCAAGATACACCAATGCACCAGTGGTACTAAAATATGATACTTCGGGACCAAGTAGTTCTTCGTTATCTTCTCGAGGTCGAAAAGGGTCTTTTTGGATATCAAGTGAATGAACTACGATTGGGCTAGTCAATGAATGTTCTTTATATAGAATCATTGTAGAACCTTTTTCTATATAAATTGATCGATGAATGAAAATCTCATTCTCCGAGTGCTCAAACTGCAGGTTGAGATAACATGTTGTTTTTCCAAGATATTCATATCAAATTCTCTTTTTAGGTAACTTATGACACTTGGAATCTCTTCGGGAGTTTCAATAATATTTAAGTTATCAACACATACAACAAATCTCTTTTCAAATAAAAACATATGAACAAATAAGGTTATTTTTTATAACTTGCTTTCAATAAATAATCATTGAAGTGATTATATCAAATGCACATGGGTTAGTAATAAACAGTAGATATAAAAATAAAATATAAAAAGTATAAATTGAATTTCTAAAAACCAAAATAATAAAATAAATACTAAAATAATCCTAATAGAGATCTCTATTATTTAATTGAATTCTTATCTCGAGAATATATATTATACGCTTCTTGCATGTTAAGTCCTTCTAGGACTTTCATACCGATTCATCTCAAATGAACAAATAAATTGTGATCACATTCATTAAATACATGCATATGAATATTTTTCATATATTTTGCCAAGCTAATGAGATAATAAAATATAATTGCATCCATTACGGGAGAATATATTTCCTCATAGTCAATGTCGGTTATTTGTAAAAACTCTTGTGTTGAAAGTTTTGCTTTGTATCTTACAATCTCATTTTTCTTATTTCGTGTTTGCCTAAATACTTATTTATAGCCCATCGACTTAACATCTTTAGGTGTTTTAGCTATAGGCTCAAAAAACTACTCTTTTGTAGGAGAACATAATTCTGCTTGGATTGCTCTTTTCATTTAGGCTAATCGTCTTTATATCAACATTCTTCAATAATTTAGGCTCAAGATCCTTATTTTCATTCAAAATATCAATTGTAACTTTACATACAAAAATCTTATTAATAAATATTTTCTCTTCGACTCTATTTTCTCACTCGTATTGACATAATTTATCAAAACCTCTTGATTTTTCTCAAGCATTTGGACTTCTTCGGAAGCCTATTATCGAAATAACTTGGATCATT